AAAGGACTCTTAATTTTCTGCGAATAGCTAATCAGCTTGCAGATGACCGAAATGAGCTTCGTAAGACATCCTGTCGGCATCATTTTTACCTTGGAAGGAGTAAAAAATTTATAAATATAAATGCACGTAATTTTTTATAATAAACTAGCCACATACCCTTGTTTTGCTCAGGAAAATTTTCAATTAGGTACCTGTGTATGTGTGTAAAGACGGTCCAAAGAAATTTTTGAAAAACTATTATAAATGCTATAATATCTTACATAATTTCACTTACTTGATTTATTTTATACAATTAATACAAAGATCTGTAATGTCATTAAACAGTCTCTCTGGGAATCGAACCCCTAATTAACGATGAAGTAAAGAGAGCCAATTATATTATACCAGCCATACTGTATCCATTACCATTTAGTAACTGATGTCCAGTAGATAATATATAGATTATAAAAGCTATCTATGTATTTGGTTTTCAATAATTGTAATAGAGAAATTGCTAATATTTTATATAATATCATCCCAAATATTACTAATCTTCATACTAATAATACATATTACTAATTTTCATCACAAGAACTTAGGAGTTTTACATGAACATTCTATATTACTGAAAAGAGGTCTAGGATCTGTAAAAACGTCCAATAACTGCACGCAAAACCACATGAAATAACTAGTTAAATGTACAAAAGGTTGGCACAGAACACTATTAATGAGTATTTCCAGACAGTGAGGCACCGTAGTCTATTGTCAGAAGCATTATCAGAATTCCTTTGTACCCTCTTTTCCATGAAATAAATAGATGATTGTTGTGAGAAAACGTCTTAAGTGGGATTAGGATTACTGAATGGTCTTGATGCTGCCGATGTTGCTACTATTGTAGCAAGGGAACCCATCGATGAACATGTATAACATTAAAATAATAATTTATTTCAATTCCAAAGTAAAGTAACTGAGTGTTGGGAGAATTAGCTAGCTTAGAAGTATTTTACCGAATGGAAATGTTTGATTTAAATTACACGTACCTAGGTATTATACGTATGGATACATCGATTCTTATCAGAACGTATGTTACAGTATACACTCATTTACAGTTTTAATGGAGACAAGTGGTCGCCCCGTGGTTGAAAGTCGGCAGTGTTTTATTAAGTTTGATCGTTTTTTGTAGTTCTCTTTTCAAACATTCATAGGCAATGTTCCTCAATAAATGGACTAGGTTTTTTTTTAAATTGAATCCCTCAGTTGTTCGGACTATTCCAGACGAACAAACTCTTCATAAAAATGCTAATTATAAATACTTATATAAACTACGCAAGCAGAGCTGCGGTCAAAGGTAAGATAATTTTTAGATTTCTGTAGTCTTTCTCCATATAAACTTTAATTCTGCCAAAGCCCGTGTTCCCCGATCGTGAACACACAATATGCAAAGTTTTCTCTTCACATAGATATTCCTTTTATACTTTGTATAGTAACTCTTTATGTATAATGTATATAATATATAAATTATATATATTTAAATCGACATCTATATGTCTATACTAGCATTGCCCGCCGCTCCGCCCGCGTTCAGATGACCAAAAACAAATTCTTAGGTTTTACATATTAGTATACTTATATTGCAGTTTTTGTATTTTTTCTTAGAAATGAGACATTTTCCCGTGGTAAAAAGTATCCTATATGTTGACCCGGATAACCAGCTATCACCATACCGAATTTCATCAAAATCCCTCCAGTGGTTTTTCTGTGATGCGGTAACAGACAGACAGACAAAAATTCTAAAACTATAGATTCGGCCTCTGTATCGATAATAATGTTTATTTCAGTAAGATTTTCCAAAAAATATTAAATGTACAGATTCAAATTAATTACAATTTTATTATATGTGATGTTCTCTCCTAGCCGATTCCGGCTACGGCGGCCAATCTCATTGAGATTAGCCAACTGCGCAGGAGATATTGTAGTGCTCAAGTGTACGCGCAGACACAAGTGCACTCTCTATTCTGTCACTCTCATACTCCGGTGGGACGACTGCTCGACACAACCGGTGAGAGTTAAGGCGCAGGACCGACAGCTTTACGTGCTCTCCGAGGCACGGGGATGAAACACCGCCAACTTCCCAACTCCGGGCTGACACTGAGACTTACTATACAGAAAGACTCGATAACTAAATTTGGCCCGGCCCGGGACTCGAACCCAGGACCTCCGGGTGTGCAGCCGTACATGCTAGCCACTACACCACCGAGGCAGTTAATATATGTTTAGATAGTTTATTATATGTATAGATCATTCGACGACATATATATCTATATCAACGTACCCTACAAATTCATAAAAAAAAACACCACCTTTATTCATATACCAAAACATATTGTCTAATACCTTCAGTTTGCCGAACAGTACATCGGCTATTCCATTTTTGATATCAAGCGTAAAATCCTCAGCGCCAATCAATAAAAGCAATTGATTAAACCCCTCAACACAATGTTACCAACTCAAGTCCGGATTAAGTAGAGCCCTTCGCTCAATTATTCGAGGAGAATTCTCACGTCTATTTTGGGTTCTTCACTTGCAAATTGATTAATGCTGTTTAAGTTCAATCATGTTCTTAAAAATTATTGCCATTGTATGGCCAGTTTCTTCTATCTTACCAATATTATGAACGCAAAATTTCGTTACTCTTTCACACAAAAACAACTGAACGGATTTGGATGAAACTTTACAATAATATAGCTCGTACATCAGAGTAACATGTAGGCTATGATTTATAAAGATATAGTTATATATTTGACTTACGTGTGCGAAGCCGCGGAAAGATGGTAGTATTATATGTGTAAAAGTTAGTAATATATTAGTCAGTAATAATCACTGTTAAAATATTTGATGCTATATATGAAAATACTTTTTGTCCTCAAATACCACTTTTATGTCGATTAGTTGAACAATGTACTTAATAATAAGTATTTACGCTGCGGGGCCATCTAGTGGTGAATTAAATCAAAATGGATAATACGAATACTTTACCTAACCTACACACATACTTCCTGTAATAAATACTTATTAATATAATATATAATTATTTATGATTATGCACAAACGAAGCTTTCAATTTTGATCTCTAACAGACTAACAAAGAAAGTATTCGTAGGTGTCTAATATATCTGTGACTGACTGAAACTAAATGCATAAAGTGTACGAAGTTGTCCAAATCAAATCAAATCAAATCAAAATATTTTATTCAGCATTAAATTATTACATTTTTTTACTGAACGTCATGAGTCTACTACCAGTTCGGAAAGAAGAAGCCTCAGACCTGAGAAGAACTGGCGAATGAAACTCAGCGGGACTAATATCCGTCAACCCGCACTTGCTAGCGTGTGTTTCGCCCACAAGTCAACATCCGCTCTTATCATCATATCCTTTCTTCTTAATATATCGATGGTACGAAGTCCATAAACCGTGAGTGAGACTCACATTTGCTTGATCTTCTATCCTAAATAACCCTTGTCTAATCTTCTAATAAAGTGAACATTTATCTAAGTATTCTTTATTCGAAACGTATATAGCTTACCTACCTTTCATTCTTATTGCAATTTTTTCCAAATAGACTTGTTTCAAATAAGATAATATAAATAATTGATCGATCCCATACTCAAGAAATCTCAAGCTTTCGTGGCTATTTTAGATGCAGCTGTCCATTTTAATGGAACAAACAATGCTATCCGTATGATGTACATATGTATTAATATTGTATAGGTCTAAAATAAACGAGAGTTCATAGCGGTAATTACTAATAAAAATGGTCTTTTTTTGAAATTTACATACCCTCAGAGTATTTCTTTCATTTACTTAAGGTTAAGTTCATGCTTCCACAGAAAATTGCTTCATGACTAATAAGAAACGAATCTGTAACCAACTCCAACACTAATTCAGATTCAAACTTATATTATATATGATATTTTCTAGCTTTAAATTAATAAAATCAAGCCAGATAAATCAATATAATTTCAGCAACAATAATATTGTACAGAGGAATGAGTATTCCCAATATTAGTTGCTTCTTTAATTACTTAATTAGCTACTGTATTACAATTTATTTAAATTTCTCAACAATAGGTACTTATATTATTTTTCTTCGGGATTCTATTGGATCGGGTCCAATAGAATCAATCAAAAAATTGTACCTATAGTTAGTGCGTGTATCTAACATTTTCTGAAATATAGTTCTTGAAATAAATGTTTGGGAACTCAACATGGCTCAAGAAGAGATTTTGATGAAATTTGGTAGGTATGATGATAGCTGGTTATCGGAGTCAATATATAGGATACTTTTTACAGTGGGAAAATATCTCATGACTGAGAAATTTTTACTAAACGTTAAAACGTAAGTATGGAGGAACCCGAACGGAGTGAGGTTGATATGCTAGTTATTTATAAAAATAACATAAGTAAGGCCGAGAAGAGTTTTGACGATCGATTAATGTAACTGGTTAAAATGATGATCGAGATGCTTATTGTCACTCAGCTTGAAGTCGTTCAGTGAATCGATAGAATTCTATACGAAAGAAATGTCTAAATATTGTCAAAGCCTTTTAAGCATTCAATATACACGAGATGGACAAGATAGCCACTGTACCATATTGTACACGATGAATGCATAAAATGATTAAGGTTACTTTCTGTATTTTTTTATCTTGTATAGCCAGGCTAGTGCGACTAATTTAACAACGACTCATAATTTTGAAATAAGTCTGTAGAGTGTAGGTATTTATAATTGAATATTAAACTGAGAACACTTTTAACTCGTTTATTTAATATTTTACTAAATATGTTTTTTGATAGATGGTGGATTTTTTAGGTTGTGTAAGATTTAATATATTAATAATAAATTATAAACTCATTAAATTTTAACATTTACTTTATTACGTAACAATGACAAAAGTAATAAGAAATTGTCGGGAAACATGTCATTTCTAAAACACACGATCAAAACGAATGGTAAAATATTACATGACTGCTGTCACTACAGCCTCAGTAAGGAGAAGGCAATTGACTCCTCTCTGCAACCTGAAGTATCCATTTTCACCCCAATTCGCCCCCCATGAGTTTTTGACGGACCAATATTTCACTCCATTCTCTAAAAATCAATCAAAAATGAGTTCTAATTAAAGTTAGTAGCAGTTTATACTGAAATTGCTGATCTCCAATATAAAAATAACTTGATAATATTAATAAAATTAAAATAATATCTATTTATTACATAAAACAAAATTGTAAAGAATAAAAGAAAATTTTATTAAATACAACTAAATAAATATTACCTTCGCCAAAACCGACAAGTAGAACTGCATGATCAAGATCTTGACCATTACAGTTGGCACCTTGAATTATACCGTTTTGATAATTATGAAGAACAGTAGCGTCGATAGCTGAAATTTAATTCAAAATAATATATTATATTATAATATAATAAGGCAGTGGTAGCGCAGCGGTAATGCGCTCGCTTGAGAAACCGAGTGAAGCGGGTTGAAATCCCAGGTCTCGCACCTCTGATATTTTCATGTGCGAATCATTTCTAACATGATTATTACCACTTGCATTACGGTGACGGAGAACATCGTGAGGAAACCTGCATGTCTGAAAAAACTAGCAAGTTTTCCAAAGACATGTGAAGTCCGCCCACGCGAATTTGGCGAGCGTGGTGGAGTATGGTCTGATTATCCACCCATGTTGTGGGTTGTATTTTAACGTATTTTCCCGTGAAAATTAAATAATCTACCGAGGTAAAAAGTAACCTATATGTCACTCTAAAGCCCTTCAACTATCTCCACACAAAAAATCACGCTAATCCATCACTCAGTTTAGGTGAAAGGAGGAAAACAAACAAATACACAAACAAACACTTTTACATTTTTAATATTAAGTACGAATATTAGTATTGATTGTCCATTAAATGTTTTGTTATGATGTATTAAGCACTTTCTTTTGTAGGACATACGGAAGAATCTAATAATAGCCATCTTAGTCGTTCACTTTTTGCCTGTGTTAAGGAACTGTGGACTTATGCACTAATTTCATCTTGATTAAACTACCATTAAGTCACTACTATATCATGACCGTCTATTTGAAATAAATATATGTAACTCATAGCAAATTTACCTATAGACAACGGGGCTATTTGCTGAAGTTTTTTAGCTAAGCCATCTTCATCTACCTTTAGTGCTTCACAATCTGTTGGTTGTACAGCGACTTTAGATGCATTATATTGGCAAGTGCCATCGTTTTGTGTATATGGATAGTCAGCCTCAGATATAGAACCCTTGGATTTCAAATAACTGAAAAAATATTGTTTCTAAGTCTTTCTTTTTTGATAATGTTTGTAAATTACATAAATAAAACATCCCAACTGTGCTAAAAGAGAACCAAGTAGATGAAAAGAAGATAGCAAAAGAATTAAGAGTATGAAACGTGTAAGTCTCCGACTACATAATACACACTATGTTCGTATGTCAACTTGTTTCCATATTTTTAGTTCCCTTTTTACAGTCAATGAAAAAAAAAACTCAACACGCCCGAATTGTTTCACAATCCGCCATTTTCTTTTGCGTTTTCAGGACGAATCTAAGGACGTACAATTGATTCATCAAATTGGTTCCGTCGTTTTGTAATTACGAAGGTACATAGAACTGGACATATGAACATACATATATTTATATTCGGGTCAAACTCATAAGCCTCCTTTGGATTTCGCAGCAATCGAATAAAAAGCATTGTTTAAGAAATTTATAGTCGTTATCAGCAATCTGACAATGTAACAACATGTCCTTCATATAACGTATAATGGGGCGTTCAGCATGAACCGGACATGTAAGAAATTTTTTTTTTTTAATTTCCAATAATACCATTAAAACCCATTAAATGGAGTATAAATTCCACAGCTTTATTGATTTGTATTATAGCTTTTTAGGACTAGATAAAGACGTCCGAAGCATCGCGTACTTGTGAGAAATTCGAAATTTTGGTCTTTGGACTTAAAAAATATTTTATGTACAAGATATTTCAACATATTTCTTATAAATAATATAATATACAAAATATGTCTTAAGACATAATAGCAATAAAATAATCAAATATTATTACAATTGGAAATGTTAACATTTTTTACCTGTCCGCTTCACGCGGAATGTCCCGTATATCAGATGTATACAGTAGAAACCAATATAATATTATCAAAATTAGTATTAACCTGAGGTCTCAGTAGACGTAGTCATGTATTAATGTAGAATCAAAACATTTATAAGATAAATGCAATGCCTATATTATTATAATTTAATAAAAAAAATGTAAATAACTTACACCAAAGCTTCATTCGGGATTCCTCCCATACATCCAAAATCATCTGAACCTGTATCACAATCTACTAGTTGTTGCTCCGATAATTCCTGTATACTTCCCGTTTTAATTGCGTTAACACTTTCCAAATTTCCTTAAATTAAAATATGTAAAAAATATTGCATATAGATAGACTTAAATTTGCTCATTGCACATATAAAAAAGTTCATTTAAATATTTGTTATAAATTTAGAGTTAATGTTTGGTAGTTTGAAGTGAAACAACTATCGATATTATATACTTTTTTATATTACTACTAGCGAAACTAAAGGTACGCTAACGTAAGACTATATATTATATATACCTACATAGGTACAAAATTGACAGTTCTGAACTTTTCGATTTTCCTGCTGTTTTTTTGGGGTTTCCCTATTTTTTTATATACCCCTGACACACCAGCAACAAAACAAAATTAAGAATTATTTAAATTGATCCAGCCGTTTTTGAGTTTTAGCGCGACTGACGAACGGCAATTGATGATAACAAAGCATAAATAAATTATAACTCACCAATAGCACTAAATGCCCAACAAGAGCCACATTGACCTTGATCCTTTACTTCAGAAACAACGTTTTTATCACGCCAATCGAATTTGTCATCAGTTTTAAAATCTCCAACTTCTGTAACTTCTTTGCACAAGGTAGGAGTATCTTTCGAGGGCTTATATCCTTTATGAAACTGCTGAATTTCCGCATTAGACAGGTCAGCGAATTTTGTGATACCTTAAAAATTTAACGTAATATATATTTTTAAATGCACAACTGATGATTTTTAATGATCAAATAAATATCAGTGTGAAATCAGATATAATGGCATCATTTGATTCGGAGTTATTAATGACATTTTGATCGACTAAGAAAGTGGAGGTGTGTATTTTGATATACCTACCTATACCGTTTAGGTCACAGAAGGATTTATTTTAACTTAATCTTTTGTTTTAAATCAATATAAATCTAGGTAGTACTTAATACAGAAAAATCGTTAAACTGCTCAAATTTCATGAGCTGTATTTAAATGAGTATAAAAAACTAGAGATAAATGTAAAAAAAAGACAATTACAAATATACTTAATTATATATACAAAACATATGTACACTTAGTTATTAATGTACAAGTCATGTCGTGGAATAGTGGCTAGCAGCCGCATTCCCCCGTTCAATGGCAATGCCCATTCTTTGGGCGAAAAATGCGGCAGCCCTCCTGTCACCAGTAGAGGTGATAAGACGGAGTGTTATGTCTTTTAAGAAGAGCTTAGCACTTTGACTCCATGGGCCAAGGGTTTCTACAGCAAATGGAATAAAAACATAATTTTGACTAAGGGAGGTGTATTTACGGATACCAGTTAGTTAATACATTACACATAATATATAACTTTAAATACATAATATATATTTAAAATATAAACACCCATGACTGAAGTACAAACATTCGTGCTCAACACACAAATGAATGCCCCCAGCGGATCTAGAACCTGCGACCGCTGGCACAGCAAGTAAGGTAAACTACAAACTTACCAAATGTTTCGCCTGTACTGTGACTGTTTAGATGGTCAATGATATCTAAGTTCTTTAGGAATACTCCATATCTTATTAATTTTTCTGTTGAATCTGAATATTGTTTATCGTATTTTTTTATAAATTCTTCAAATAGGGTTGAAAGTGAGTCGTCGGATAGGTAAGATATGGTTTTAGCACATGCTATTGTAATAGCAGCGAAGAAGTATAACACAAGAGAATTCATTGTTCCACTTTCTACAATTAATATCCTTATACCATCACATTTTTATACTTAAACGTTAGGTCTAGATATTCCAAATATGCATTTCATGACAATTTTATTTTCATTTTATATTTGTTGGTATTTTAGGTATTGCATATTTATTTATGCTTATGTATTAGAATCATTTTAAATATTTTAATAAAATTAATGTATTTTATTCAGGAATCCACGTTAAATAATTATCGTCTACTAAAAGATAGCACTTATAGCAGTTGATAGCACGTATATTAGCTATAGTTTAATGTGTTTTTCAGTAAAATTTGTTTTTGTATTCTCATGTAAATAAATAAAAAAAAAAATATTTTTTTAGCAAAATATTTAAATACATTACATGTTCAGCTTCAAACATTAATAATTTTTATAATATTGATTTCAGGAAAAACAACAAATTTGTATAGATACGATATACGTGAGAGACTAAGGTTTTAGACGTCTCAAAGGCCGTGGCCATGGTTGCTGTAAAGCATTCGAAACGTCGGGAACTAAAAAATCTAAATATATCCACGAAATAATCCAAAAAGATAATTTTATTTAAAACATTGCTCTATTTAAAATTTTAATAAATTTAAATGAAAAATAATGATTCAAGACGTGGAGAAGCCGATGCATCGTGTGAGTCAGAGAGCGCCAGAGCACACGTAATTAATTAATAATTAAAAACCAGGTATAAAATGTTTTTTTTATTCTCGCTTAGGTACCTATATTATTCACTATTTATAAAAAATATTTAAAAAAATATCTTTTATATTTTATTCTTTTTCTATATAAATTATATATTTTTACATACAAGTTATCTTATATTCGGCTAATCACTTATATCTTTTTTATGCTATACGCAAGTTACCATTTTTATATTGTAAGGTCAACATGTTTAATTCTTAAAACTTGATTTACTGGTAAAAACTAGCCAAGTCTAATCTTGAACTCAAATTTATCGTAAGTTATCTACTCTGTGTAAATAATTCAACTGTACAAATTCCAGTTCTATTCTTAAATAGCAAACACTTTTGTATCAGAAAAAACAAGAAATTGTGTTTTAAATTTATTTTATAATGTTGTATGTCCTTATCAAAAAAAGTGAGGATAATTTACAGTACTTGGCACCCATTTAGATCTCAATTCTTTTGTCGGTAAAGTTGACAACTACGCTTATTGTTCATATTGAACTTGGCTCCCATTTTCACATTTATGTTTTTGATTGGGTTGCTATTTTACATTTGATATTTTACCTTTATTGGTTGGTATTCTAATTATATTATTATTTTTTATTTGCAATGTGCTGTACATATGTATGTATCTAATAAGTCCTTAGTTTATTAGTTATAGCATTTAAAGACTTAAAACTTGTCAAATAGGTTTCCACATATTTCGGGAATCATTATTCCCTATCTATCTATACATACCTATAAAAAATTCTAATAGTCGAATCTGTTTATTAAATATTTTTTGGAAAATCTTATTATATTAGTCATCATTATCGATACAGAGAAAAAATGTATATTATTCATAATTTTTGTCTGTCTGTCTGGGAACGCATGACGAGAAAACCACTGGACAGATTTTGATGGAACTTGGTATAATGATAGCTGGTTATCCGGGTCAACATATAGGTAATTTTTTTCTGCGGGAAATTATTACATCTCTAAGAACCGTTACCGTTAAAACTTAACATAAATGACGTAACGCTAGTAATTTTATATTATTACGAGCAGAATCCGCGGCTTCGTTCGCGCTAAAACTACAAAAAAACTCTTAAAAGTAAGCTTTCATACAAACTTTCATCCCCTATTTTATCACCTTAAGGGATGAATTTCGAAAAATGCTTAAACACGTATTTATTTAATTGTATTCAACATTCATTTCAAAAATATTGAATTTTATTGAAGTTGGTATACGACATTTCTGCAGATTTAAATAAAAACTGTTTCCTGTTTATTAGTTACAATGTTAATAATAATATGTGTGCTTAATATGGGCGTCAAATTTGTAATGCCTTTTGAAATAACTCCAGAATATTATTACCATACCATTTTTATCTTTTATTTACGTTATTTAAAATCATTTATTACAAGCAAAAACTAACCTATCCCACAGAAACCGTACATTTTTCCGGAATAAAAAGCCTATGTGCTATTCCAGACTATAATCTATCTCTGTGCTAAATTTCATCCAGATCCGCTTAGTCGTTCTGGCGTGATTGAGTAACAAACATCCTTACAAACTTTCACATTTATAATATTAATACAGATTCTCTTGCACTATTAATCTCCACTTCCAAACACTGTCCCTCATACCTACAGATTGACTAAAAGAAAAATCTCTTTAAAGATTATTCCACTTTTATTCTTGTAAAGAATATACTCGTACATATATAAAAATATATCTAACTAGCATTGCCCGCGGCTTCGCCCGCGGTTAGATGAGAAAAAAATAAATTCTTAGGTTTTACTACATATTATATTAGTATACTCTTACAATGCAGTTTTTGTATTATTTCTCAGAAATGAGATATTTTCCCGTGATAAAAATTATCCTTTATGTTGACCTGGATAACCAGCTATCACAATACGAATTTCATCAAAATCCCTTCTGTGATTTTTCTATGATGCGGTAACAGACAGACAGACAGACAAAAAATCTAAAAACAATAGATTCGGTCTCTGTATCGGTAAAAATGTTTATTTCAATAAGATTTTCCAAAAAAATATTTAATGTACAGATTCGACTTAGTTACAATTTTATTATATTATGTATAGATAACATCATGATAGCAAATAGGAAAGTCAACGCTAGAGTACTCATTATTTTACATTTTTACCTTCCTCTGAGATTCTCTTTACAGAAATGCGCTATTATATTTACTATCTGGTTCGCATATTTCCCATTCTATCTATTGTGTTATTTATATACTAAACATTTTTCAGTTTTAATATGTTAGAATTTCTGAGTTATTATAAAAAAACTATTAGGCTTTAAAATTGTTTATTGTAATAACATTTGTTTACTATATATATGTATTTATTGTAAGGTTGCTTTTTTATATATCGAGCGTTTTAATGGAAAATAATATATTTGACTAGCATTGCCCGCGGTTCCACCCGCATTCAGATGACCAAAAACCAAATTCTTAGGTTTTATATATTAGTTATACTCTTACATGGCAGTTTTTGTATTTTTTCGCAGAAATGAGACATTTTCCCGCGGTAAAAAGTATCCGACATGTTGACTCGGATAACCAGCTATCACCATACCAAATTTCATCAAAATCCCTCCAGTGATTTTTCCATGATGCTGTAACAGACAGACAGACAAAAATTCTTAAAACTATAGGTTCGGCCTCTGTAACGATTACAATATTTATTTCAATAAGATTTTCCAAAAAATATTTAATATACAGATTCGGCCTAGTTACAATTTTATTATATGTATAGATAGATTAATTTGTAATGATTTATGTATAAGTGACCTTGGACGATAGGAATGTGTTTAAAAAAATAAAATAAATAAAAGGCGCGGATATTCATTTGTTTTCCCGCGCTTTTGCACAGAGATGTCGGTACTACCCTGTTAGTGACCAGCCACGAATTGTTTGTAATACTGAAAATTATGGTTATAAATTATGTAACTCACTGACGATTATAAAAGTACTGAATATAAGAATATAAACAAGGAATATCTCGAAGTTTTATTATTAATCCTACAGTATATATTTTTTACTTTTGTACAACAGTAGTACACACAAGAACACACACTCCTCACCTCCTCCATTTTTGAATTCAGTCAAAAATATAAAACATGAGTGTCGAAACTACTCAATTAAAGTCTTTGTTACTAGCTGTAATATGTGTATAGCAACAAATGAAAAGGCACTACTTATGTTGGTCGACACAGAACTTAGATCTAGAACAAAAAAGCATGAGATACGATATCACTGCGCCATTTAGCACTACAGCAATTTAAATCCGCTTCGCTGGGTGCCTTTTGTATGTATTGTACAGAATCAGCGCCATCTTTTGGCCTATTTCCTTACTAACAGTAGCCTATGTGGAGTAACAGAAAGCTACTGTCATCCACAATATTTGATTCAGCTGATTTGTCATGTCATAGACTAACTGTTTACACAATTGCATCTAAATCTGTTCAGTAATTTCAACGTGAAATAGTAACAAACAGACTGACATTCAATCTTTCAAATTAATAATGTAGTATATAGAAATATTTTATTAGACCATTTAAAATGCGAAAACAAAATAAATAATACGAACAGGTTGATAAATACAATATTTACAAAGTTTAATTTTCTTCGAGCAACGGATGAATACGAAATGAATCATTACAATTCTGAACCTTTATTCGAGATACGACCAAAGAACTCAGCTGAGTTCCGTTTTAAATATTTCCATTAAATTTCAATTTTCAAACTTATATCTTCACAATGAGTCTACTGACAGTGAGACCGACTGTTTACTGTTATATTAACACGTTAGCTGCGGCACCAATTTTTGCATACTTTCCGTTCCTGCGGCACGAGGTATAATCGGCCCGTACCGTGACCAGACGTTAGGGCGACACGCGGTCTATTAGACCCCACCTCCTTTTACAGACTAAAATCCATTTTCTGGCGCGAAATCAAAGATAAATGAGAATTTTGGTCCTTATTGATATAGACAGTGAATTGATGAACCCTAATCCACCGTCGCCCCGGGATCTGATGGCTAGTTTAGGAATTATTAGCAAAACAAAATATGGGATCTTATACACCTCGTAACGCACTGAAATAGGGCAAATTTTCGCTGCGATTAGTGATGGGAAAAATAATATCGACGTTTTTAAACTGTCTTAACTACGCAACGACTTGACCGATTTTGATCAATTATATCTCATTAGATCGTTTTAAGGGCAAAACCTGGCAAAACAACACAAAGCTATCAAAGGATACATTTTTTTTAAATAATCTAAAT